ATGACATACCAACGAATTAACAAAGATCCCACAACAAGTCTACAAAAGAAAAACAACGAAATCGTAGAAGAACTATTCAAACAAAAGATAATATCAGATAAAGAAAGAAAATGGTTAAAAACAGAAGTGGCAACTGCTCCAAAAATTTATGGGCTACCCAAAATACATAAGGATGGGTACCCACTGAGACCAATTTGTTCATCAATCAATTCCCCATCAATAGAGCTGTGCAAATATATAGTAACATTTTAAAAACTTGACAAAAAATTCTATTTATAATATTAAAGATGCTGTGCAATTTAGGGATAAGGTTAAAAACTTGACGATTAATGAGAACGAAAAGATGGTCTCCTTCGATGTAGTCTCACTCTTTCCGAGTATACCAGTAAATTTAGGACTAAACATTATTGAAGAAAGATGGGAAGAAATAAGCCAATATACTAAGATGCCAAAGACCATGTTCCTGAACATTTTGAAATTCTGCATAAAAGAAAATAGATACTTTAAATATGAAGATAAAATATACAAACAAAAGTCGGATTACCAATGGGTTCTCGGGCATCCCCAATTATTGCAGATCTGGTCATGGAATCCCTACTTGACGTTTGTTTAAATGCACTACCAAAGAAACCCAAGATATTGACAAAGTACGTAGACGACTTATTCGCAATAATTGAAGAAGATTCAATACAAGAAACATTAAAAATATTGAACAGCTTTAACAAATCCATAAAATTTACTCTCGAAGAAGAGAAAGAAGGAACAATACCGTATTTAGAGGCACTATTAATAAGAAAACATAACGAAATCCACCTAAACTGGTACCAGAAGCCTACCGCTTCTGGAAGGTTAATAAATTACTATTCAAAACACACAAAACGTACAATAGTCAACACAGCAAAAAACTTAATACATCGAGTACTAAACATTAGTGACGAACAATTTCATGTTGAAAACAAACTCAAAATCAAAAACATCCTCACTGGAAACAATTTTCCAGCACACATCATAAACTCATTAATAAGAGAATACAAACCAACAAAACGGACATCAGAAAACGAAAAACCGAAGAAAATATACAAATCGCTGATATATTTGCCCAATATCTCAGAAAGATTGGAAAAATCTGACATATACGACAAAACCAAATATACCATTGCACACAGTTCTAACAACACAACAAAATCAATATTTAGCAAATTGAAAAGTAAACCCCAAAATTGGAAAAACATAACGTGATTTACCAAATTGAATGTGGTGGTAATAATGAGGAAGGCTGTGGAAAATTATACGTCGGCACGACGAAAAACAAATTAAAAACTCGAATGTCAGGACACAAGTCGGACATAAAACCAACATAATACAAAAAAGAGCACTGTCCGAACACTGTAAAATACACAATCATACCCCTAACATTGACGATGTAAAAATACTGCAAACGGAGAATCATTACAACAAGAGACTAACACTAGAGATGCTCCACATAAACAGTCTCCCAACAACAACAAGAATAAACAGTAAAACAGACACTGACAACACAGCCTACTGCTACAGGCATCTCACACGGGTAGAGATCGTGCAATAAATAAATACTAATCAGTGCAATAATGTAACTTGACGGAGTAGGAACGCTACGCTAGCTTTAAGTTAATTATAAAAATTCAATTTAGTATTTATACACATGTAAGCGATCTTTGTTCTGTGTTAATATACCTGTTAGTATTAGAAAAAACTGTGATATAGTTAATAAGTCGTACTTTGTTTATTATTTATTATTTTTTATTGTAGGACTATTTCCCTGAAGATGAAATTCGTTGAATTTCGAAATATTGGAAGATTAAAATAAATATAACAACAAAGACCTCAAGCTCGAAAAACGCTTGTTTCATTAAAAATGTAATATCAAACTTAAACCACTGTTTTTCTGTTTCTGCCTCAACAGAAACAAGCTATTGCAGCCCAAGGGGAAAAATTCTGTCGTTACAATAGGTCCACGTTTTGGTATAGCCCCCGTATGACTGTCGACAGATTTAAGAGGTTTTGCTGTAAAGTGGCAGCATATGTTCCCATTATGTGAGTAAAATCCTTCCACAGATATGTCAAAATAGGTCTCAGTTTTCCTATAGTTGCCATAATACTCTACCTCCAGATATACTATGTTTTGATGATGTGTGTCACACTTTTCACCGAAAATGCCTCAAATTTGGAATTTGAAGTTCCTAATGAGTATTACAGTCTATGACGTCAGTCTATACAGTCCGTATAGCCCACATATACCGGTAACTCCCTAAATTAAGTAGTTTGATGGTTTTAGCGACATTATTTTCCGGAATTGATTCAAATTTGAAGCTCTTATAGGTTCAACAGCCTATAACAAAAATTGCTCATGTCCATGTCTTTGTGTAGCCCTTATAAAACGGTATATCCTTATATTCGATGTTTTGATGAATTTAGCGACATTATGAATTGTATCGCTAAAATCGTACAAATATCGAATATAGGGACGTACCGTTATGTGGAGGCTTTACGAAGACGATGACCTGTTTGGGCAATTTTATGTCATAGGGTGAAATACCCATTAGAAACTTCAAATTTAAAATTTGAAACATTTCTGGTAAAAAGTGTGACACAAAATCATCAAAATACCAAATATTTGGAGGTACAGTTATATTGGGACTATATTAAAACTTAGACCTACATTGACAGTTCTATGTAATGATTTTTCTTACATAATGGGGACATATGCAGTCAATTTACAACAAATTTGGCTTAAATTTGTGACTAAAGAAACCTTAAATCTGTCCAATTATATGGGGTCTATAACAAAACATAGACCTATATAGCCCATTTTCAATACCAAAAGTCCTTCAGACAGACGGTCGTACATCGCTAAATATATATAGAATTTTATGCTGATCAGAAATATATACACTTTGTGTAAAATGTATATTTCGAGGCGTTACAAACGGAATGACAAGCCTAATATACCCCCCATACTATGGTGGAGGGTACAAAAAGAATCAGATTCCGAATGATATATACTCTCAGCATTTGAAAACATATTATGTTTTTTGGTTTCCTAAATATTATACTGAGGAATAATGTACAATTTAAGTGAGTTATAAATATAAGGAACAAGGAAATATGGGTCAATATTTTGCAATTTACCAGAGGCCCAATGTGAGTTAATCGTGTACTTAATTCGTTCTATATGAAATATATCAGGCCATCTGCACGATTTCTCATCCCATACATAATATCACTCTGTCTATTTTACGATATAACAAAGTTTCACATTTTTAAAAAAATATCTGTGTTTTATTTAAAATTTGATTTGAATTGATTCCTAGTTGAGATACCATTCACATGATTTTCTCGAAAGTTTATAACTTTTATGGGGGTATTAGATATTTATTCGATTTTTATGCACATCCGATCTTGTGTTGGTAGAAGCATTGGGTTGTGCAAATTATTGTTGTTCAAAATGTTGACCTGGGGATACCAGAATGGCTGGTCCATAATATCCTACTTTCATACCAGATCTAGAATCATAAAGTATTATGATAATTAGAAATTTTGGACTTTTGTGTGGGAGGTATAAGTGGCCAATATTTCCCACCAAAATTAGACCTTATAATTCAACAAGTATGTCATGTGGGCCGATATTACCTATCTTCGAACTTGTATCTATATAACGTAAGGTTTTATCTTTTTAACTAAATTGTTAATTTTGGGTACATATCAGGAGAAATTTTGGACAAATCATGAGGTGTAGGTGTATAGCACGTGTGGGCATGCACTTTTCCTAAAATAATCAAGTCCTGTATAATGATATTGGATCGAATGACAGTAAGCCCACTGAGGAGGACTCGGGGAAAAATTGTTTTCGATCGGCATAAAACACACTCGGCACAATTTTGCGCATTAAAATTCTCTACTTACTGTGAAGCGACAAAGAGATCCAGGGGCATTAAATATAGAAATAACTACGCTTACAACCTTCCTTTTTGTTGGTTTCTTTTCTCCAGATATTATTAATTAATCGACTAGGTGGCTTTTCAAATTGAACATGAAGCTATCAATCGGGCTCGCAATACAATCCTACTACATTTTCTGTTTCGTTTTCAATTTGCAGTTCTTTCGTGCTAACATCAGGGTGATGTCCTTCGAGGTTGACATGAAATTTCTCAATTCAAACCCACCGTCTTCATGACCTTCTTTCACTTGTTTTGAAACATAGAAAGTGTCATCTACTCTGTGATATCTTTGTGAATAGTTTTCAACATAATGGGAATCGCAAATGGCTTCAATTGCTCTTGGATTATAATTGGAGTTTTGTTGCTGGGAACAGGCTGGGAAAACTATATCAGACGGCTAAAATATACACTTTTTAAAGCTTATCAGATTTATTTTAGATACACCATACAAATTTTTCAATACAATGTGGCCCTTTTACCCATCTGTACTCATTTTTATGATAAAGGATGTAACAGGCTCTTTGGCATTTTGACCTCCAAACTACCGAATGTTATTAAAGTATTCACTTTTCATTCCCCTAACTCATATTTTTTCGGCAATTATGGTGATGTATGATCCATCATCGAAGAAGGCGTAGACTTCCGTGGGGCAAAATGTGGGCCCTAAATTTTTTCGTGTTATCTTTCGATGTACAGCTAAGAACATGAAGCAATTTGTTGTGCTTATGCTGGCATCCTTCTTCAGGGCATACTCGTTTACAGTCTTGGGTTATTTGTCTTATGTTCAAACAGGAAAAATGGTCATCAATTTTCATAATTTGTTTTCATATATCTGGTACATTCAAGCGGCGGCAATTATGAATCCTATATTGTCCCCTGCACTTAGAACATTGTATATGTTGTTGGGTGGAATGCAATAAACATCATAGTTATTTTTTTGCGTATTTATTTTAATTATTAGTGTTGAATACAAATTAATTTGCATGGTAATTTAAAGCATTTATTTCAATTGTTTATTTTCAGCTTCTCAAAAACATATGGAAGTTGTAAGCGGTGAAACAGTGTATCTACCATGTAACGTGAGCACTTCTGAAGGCGATAAAGTAGTTTTGATATTGTGGTATCGTCAAGACAAAGGGACGCCAATATATAGGTTCGGAAGTTTATGATATGAAAATGTATTACGTTGCTTACTCACAAACATAAATTATTATGATTTTGTAATTTAGATACTCTACACTATACTATGGAGTGCATATTAACTTTGTAATTTCGATGATTTTTATACCATCCACATACATAGTATGGAGTCTCAATTAAGTTTGTCATTACATTTGTAACTCATAGAAATAAACATTCAAGATCCAACAAAGTATTTTTCCGATTTTTCGGAAAGGCCCCCACATAATTGTACCTCCCAACATTCGATATTTTGACGATTTCAGCCACACTTTATAGCGGAATAATTGAGATTTCTGTATTTAGAGTTTGTACCAGGTTCTGCCTTTTGTGGCAGCCTATATAGATCCACGTTTTATTATAGCCCTCATATAAAGTACCTTCCGATGTTCGATATTTTCACGATTTTTGCAACATTTTTTTACGGAAAAGTTTAAATTTCGGTATTTAAAGTTAAAAATTGATCTGTTTCAGAACCTGCAAGAATCTACCAGTTTTGCATTTTTTATACCCTCCACCATACATAGTATGGAGGGTATATTAAGTTCGTCATTCCGTTTGTAACTCATCGGAATAATCATTTTAGGCCATACAAAGTATATATATTCTTGACCAGCGTAAAATTCTAAGCCTTAGCCTTGTCCGTCCGTCTGTTGTAATCACGCTACAGTCAAAACGAATTAAGATAGGAAGCTAAAATTTTGCACAGACCTCTCTTTTGTCTGCAGGCAGGTCAAGTTTGAAGACGGTCCACGATATCGTATAGCCCCCATATAACGGTACCCCCCCAATATAAGGTATTTTGATGATTTTAGCTACATTTTCCAATATAATTGTCTGAAATTCCACACAAGGAGTTCCTGCTGGGTACTTTATCCCTTGGAAGAGGATTATCTATATAGATCCACGTATCGTATAGCCCTCATATAACGGTGCCCCCGATATTCGGTATTTTGATGATTTTAGCCACACTTTCCAATGGAATTTTCTGAAATTTCACATAAGAAGTCCATTGTGAGGACTTTACCCCCTGACGATATCGTATAGCCCCCATAAGCGGTACCCACAATATTTGGTATTTTGATGATTTTAGCTACATTTTCCAAGGGAATAGTCTGAAAATCCACACGAGGAGTTGTTGTGAGCACTTTACCCCCTGAAAGAGATTTGTCTATATAGGTCCACAGTATCGTATATACCCCATAAAACGGTACCCCACCCCATTATTCGGTATTTTGATGATTTTAGGCACATATTTCAACGGAATTCTACAAAAGGAGTTCTTTGTGAGTACTTTACCCCTAAAAGAGAATTGTCTATATAGGTCCACAGTATTGTATATCCTCCATATAACGGTACCCTCCTCCCCCCATATTAGGTAGTTTGATGATTCCAGCCACATTTTTTAATGGAATTGTCTGAAATTCCACACAAGGAGTTCCTTGTGGGTACTTTATCCCTTGGAAGAGAATTATCTATATAGGTCCACAGTATAGGATATCCCCCCTATATAACCGTTCCCCCCGATATTCGGTATTTTATGATTTTAGTCACATTTTCCAATAGTATTGTCTGAAAATCCACACAAAGAGTTCCTTTTGAGTACTTCATCTCCTGGAAGATAATCATCTATATAGGTCGCCATATAACGGTTCCCCCCCATATTCGGTATTTTGATGATTTTAGCAACATTTTTTAACGGAATTGTCTGAAATTCTACACAAGGAGTTTTTGTGAGTAATTTACCCATAGACATAGATTCGTCTATATTGATCAACAATATAGTATATCCCCCCATGTATCGGCACCTTCCGATATTAATTGTTTTAAAGATTTTAACAGAATTTTTAATGGATTTTGTTTTTTTTTTTTTTTTTTTGAAAAATTTCCAATTCGTTACAAATGGTGGAGGGTATTCAAAGTTCGGCCCGTCCGAACTTACTGCTTTTTAGTTGTTAAATGATGAATTATATACAGTTCCAAAATGGTTATACAGTTCCAGAGAAATTACCGCTGTTGAAAAAAATATAGTTGAACATTGACTCTGTGATAACTCCATATTTGCTACAGTCATACAATTGTTTCCTCAAACATGTTGTTATTTGTTTCAACCACATCATATTTTCTACAACAAAAACCTGATCAATATTTTGTAAGAACAATGTTGTTTAATTAAAAACTCTGTAGTATGGTTATTCGGAAAAACAATATATTTATTAGAGAAAATATTAATAGCTGCCAATACAATACTTTTTGCATCAATAAAGTATTTTATGGTTACATAATATTTACATAGTTGTAAGCAATCATACTGTGGCCGATTTAGGCTTTCTATAGTGTAATTATCAGAATGTTATGAGCATTAAACATGACATGATTTGATTATGTTTAGATTAAGCGAATATAAAAGATGGGCAACCAGAAAATACTTTATTTCGAGCAAAATATCCATATTAAATATATTGATCATGGTAATATATATATATATATATCTTCGGTGACAACGACCATGCATGGTATGGTATGTTTCCTGCAATACAGTACATATATCATGCATTTTATGTGTTTTCGTTGGTATCCAACAAATATTAGTTTTAACCAGTAAAGAAAGTCCTAAAGTCGGGCGGTGCCGACTTTATGATACCATACACCGCTTTGCTAATTTAGTAGAGGAGAATTCAATCATACACGCCATTATTATTATTTTAATTTAAAGTTCAAAGCACTATATGTGCCGAAGTATTTGTATCTTTTAAATTCGGACTTGTATTGCCCATTTGGTGAAAAATTAATTTAAAATCATATAAAGATATATATGGGAGCTATATCCAAATCTGAACCGATCTCAATAAAATTTGGCGAAGATATTTTTGAGCTGTATTTGATCTATTTCCCTGAATATCGTTGTTACGAGTGCATATTATAGCTGTGGGTAACAAATACAACAAATCGGATGAACAATGTATATGGGAGCTGTTGCTATATCTCAACCGATCTTTACCAAATTTGGCATACTAGCTTCTGGACTCAATTCGGTCGTATGTTCCTAATTCCATCCTATTTGGCCAAATATTAGACATTTGGTGCACAATAAAAGGTAAATCGGACGATGTTATATATGGAAGCTATATCCAAATCTGAACCGATCTCGATAAAATTTGGCAAAGGTATTTCTGAGCTGCATTTGATATATTTTCCCAAATATTGTTGTTACAGAGTGCATATTACGGCTGCGGAGGACAAAAAAAAACAAATCGGATGAACAATATATATGGGAGCTATAGCTATATTTGAACCGAATTCGATAAAATATGACATACTTATTTCAGGCCTAATTTGGTTGTGTGTGCAAAATTCCATACAGTTCTACAGCTCGAATAGTACACGTTTGGTGCACAATAAAAGGCAAATCGGACGAAGATTTATATGAGAGCTATATCTAAATTTTTACCGATTATCTCCAATTTCGTTCTTGGGCCAAACAAATGATTTTTGCAAAATTTCATCTTAATCGGATAGTAAATGCGATCTGCATTTTGTTCACAAGAATACATGGACAGACGGACGGGCGGACGGACTGACATGCATAAATCAACTCAGAAAGTGATTCTATAGAGATCCTCAAAAGTAACTATGAGTCTATCTCGCTTCCTTCTCCATGTTACAAACAAACGCACAAAGACATAATACCCTGACCACCTTGTGGTGTAGGGTATAATGAAGGGTTTAAAGTTCATTAAAACATGTTTTGGCGATCAAAAGGATTTTATTTGTGCTTTCTTTGATGGATCTAACAATTGCCAATTGTTCTTAGATGAAGGTATAAAAGAAGTGTGGTGAAACAAAGTGTGCGAGCAATTTTGATTGTGTTTTTATTATTGGTTTGTTTTCATTGGAGTTCGAAAAAACTAGAGTTTAGGAGAATATGTTGGTGTAAATGCACTGTCCTACAGGTTTAAGATAAAATCAAGCTTTTTTGCGAATTTTTTAGTCAGTTATTGGACTTACCGAGTTTGTTCTGGATATTTATTTATTACTAGCTGAACCCGGCGCGATTCGCTGCTGCTTTCGTATTATATGCATTTAAAATGTTATATACAAATATGATTTTTTATGATTCTTTATACCCTCCACCATAGTATGGAGCGTATATTAAGTATGTCATTCCGTTTGTAACACCTCGAAATATATATTTTAGACCCCTCAATGTACATATATTCTGGACCAGCATATAATTCTAAGTCAAATTAGCGATGTCCGTCCGTCTGTGGAAACCACTATAGCTTTCGAACGGAATGAAGCGGGTTGATAACATTTTACGCAAATGTATATTATGTCTGCAAGAGTTTAAGTATTGAAAATGAGCCATGTAGGTCCCATTTTGGTATGCCCCCATATAACGGAACCTCCCCACATCCGGTATTTTGATGATTTTGATTGTTTCAAATTTGGTATTTGAAGTTCGTAATAGATACCCTAATATAACGGCTACATTCGGCATTTTTAAGATTTCTAACAGCATTTTAATGGATTTTATTTTTGAAAATTGGCAAATTCGTTCCAACTGGTGGAGGATATTCAAAGTTTGGCCCGGCTTTTTACTTGTTTTACCAAATTCCGATACGCTTTCGTAAAATATGTATGGGATCTATATCAACCTCTGACCGATTTCAATACAATTTGGAAAATTTAGTTTCATATCAAATTCCGTTCCACATTCCAAATTTCAGTGAAATGGGAGGTGCATAGCTTGGTTGGTGCACCAAATACATGAAAACAGCCGAAACCAGTAAAGAAAGTCCTGAAGTCGGGCGGGGCCGACTTTTTGATACCCTACACCACTTTGCTGATTTAGTAGAGCTCCACATAACAATTAAAAGTTTTATGGGAAAATTCAATCATACACGGTATGGTTATAATTAAGATTTAAAGTTCAACGGACTAAATATGCCGAAGCATTTGTATCTTTTAAAT